TAAAAATAATAAGTCAATACATATCAGTTATAACCATCAATGTCAATGGCCTCAACTCACCAATCAAGAGAAATAGACTGGCAGAATGGATTAAGAAGCAAAATCCAACAATATGTTGTATACAAGAAATATACCTAGTGCAAAAAGAAGCCCATAGACTGAAAATGAAAGGGTGCAAAACAATTCTCCATGGAACAGAAGCCCAGAAAAAAGCAGGGGTAGCAATCTTATTCACAGACAAAGTAAATTTCAAACGAAAACTAATTAAGAGAGACAAAACAGGCCACTACACATCCTTGTAAAGGGAACAATTCAAGAGGAAGAAATGACACTCATAAACATATATGCACCAAATATAAATGCCCCCAACTATATAAAACAAATATTAAATAACATGAAAAACCAAATAAGCACTAATACAATTGTAGTGGGGGATCTAAATACCCCACTATCACAAATAGACAGATCATCTAGGCAAAAAATCAACAATGAAATACTAGAATTGAACCAAGCTTTTGAACCCGTGGACTTATTAGATGTCTATAGAGTGTTACACCCCACAAAATCAGAATGTACATTCTTTTCAGCTGCACATGGGCCATTCTCCAAGATAGATCACATACTAGCTCACAGAACAGGTTTGAATAGATGCAAAAGAACTGACGTTATTCCCTGTATATTATCAGATCACAGTGCATTAAAGATGGAGATCAATAGCATAAGAAACCATAGGAACTTCACAAACACATGAAAATTGAACAACACTCTCCCGAACAATCAATGGATCACAGAGGAAATTAAAGAAGAAATCAGACAGTTTTTACAAATAAAAGAAAATGCCAATACAACATACAGAAATCTATGTGACATGATGAAAGCAGTTCTACATGGAAAATTAATAGCACTGAATGCCCACATTAGGAAAACAGAGCAAGCTCAAATAAACAACCTAACGATGAATCTTAGACTCCGAAAAAACAAGAGCAAGAAAAACCCAAAGCTCGAACAAGAGAGGAAATTATAAAGATTAGAACAGAAATCAATGCAATGGAAACTAAGAAAATGATAAAAAAAATAAATGAATTGAAGAATTGGTTTTTTGAAAGAATAAATAAAATTGATAAACTCTTAGCAAACCTTAACAAAAAAAGGAAAGAAAAGGCTCAGATCCATGCAATCAGGAATGAAAAAGGTGAAGTCACAACAGATCCAAGAGAAATCCAGAGGATCAATAATACCTACTATGAGAACCTGTACTCTAATAAAATGGAAAACACAAAAGAAATGGACATATTTCTAGATACTTATGAATTACCAAAGTTGAACAAAGAAGATAAAAACATTTTAAACACCCCAATTACAATCACTGAAATTGAAAATGTAATTAAAAACTTACCAACAAAGAAAAGCCCAGGTCCTGATGGATTCACTGCTGAATTTTACAAGACATTTAGAGAAGAACTACTGCCATTACTCTTCAGACTTTTCAATGAAATTGAAAGGGAGGCAATACTTCCAAACTCATTCCTGGAAGCAAGTATCACTTTGATTCCCAAACCAGGGAATGATGTAACTAAAAAGAGAACTATAGGCCAATCTCCTTAATGAATATAGGTGCAAAAATCCTCAATAAGATACTAGCAAACAGAATACAGAGGATCATCAAGAAGATCAAACATCCTGACCAAGTTGGATTTATTCCAGGTATGCAAGGATGGTTCAACATAAGTAAATCAATAAATGTAATATACTATACTAACAAAGTCAAGGACAAAAACCATATGATCCTCTCAATAGATGCAGAAAAAGCATTTGACAAAATTCAACACCCATTCATGATAAAGAACTGCAAAAAATTGGAATAAATGGTCTATATCTGAACTTAATAAAGGCTATCTATGAAAAACCAACAGCCAGCATCATACTAAATGGCCAAAAACTGAAAACATTCATGTTAAAATCAGGAGCAAGACAAGGATGCCCACTATCACCGCTCCTCTTCAATACAGTTCTGGAAACATTAGCTATAGCAATTAGACAAGAGAAAGAAATTAAAGCAATAAAAAGATAAGAAAGGAAGAAGTTAAACTGTCATTACTTGCTGATGATATGATACTCTCCATTGAAGACCCAAAAAAACTCCACCAAAAGACTTCTTGATTTAATTGACACTTTTAGCAGAGTATCTGGATACAAGGTCAACACCCATAAATCAGTAGCCTTCTTGTACATAAATAACAGACTCACTGAACGAGAAATTAGGGAAATAATTCCTTTCACAAGAGCACCCAAAAAATGAATTATCTGGGAATCAATCTAACAAAAGAAGCAAAAGACCTCTACACTGAAAACTACAGCACTCTGAAAAAAGAGATCGAAGAGGATATAAGAAAATGGAAAGATATCCCCTGCTCCTGGGTAGGAAGAATCAACATAGTGAAAATGGCCATACTACCAAAACTGCTATATACATTCAATGCAATACCAACTGAAATCCCAACACTATACTTCACAGAACTAGAAAGAAGAATCCAAAAATTCATTTGGAACCATAAGAGACCTAGAACAGCAAAAGCCATCCTAGGCAACAGACACATGGCAGCGGGTATAACAATTCCCAATCTGAAACTATACTACAAAGCCACTGTGATAAAAACAGCATGGTACTGGCAAAGAAACAGACCTGTAGATCAGTGGAAAAGACTGGAAGACACAAAAACAAACCCAGATGTACTCAGCTACGTCATCTTTGAAAAAGGAGCTGACCATCCTCAGTGGAGGAAAGATAGCCTCTTTAATAAATGGTGTTGCAAGAGCTGGCTCTCAACCTGCCAAAGATGAAAACTGGACCCTTATCTTCCACCATGCACTAAATTAAAACAAGTGTATTAAAAATCTAAATATTAAAACAGACACTAAACTTGCTGGAAGATAAATTAGGCAGAACTCTTGAAGACATTGGCATAGGAAAAGTCTTTATGAACAAGTCCTCAGTAGCACAGGAACTAGCAGAAAGAATCAACAACTGGTATCTCATCTTATTGAAAAGCTTCTTCACTGCAGAAGAAACCATTAACAGAAGTAAGAGACAACCTACAATGTGGGAAAAAAATTTTTACCAGATGCTCCTCAGTCAAAGGACTATTATCTAGAATATATAAAGAACTCAAACCAATCAGTCCCCCAAATATAAAGACCCAATTCAAAAATGGGCATCTGAAATGAAAAGACATTTCTCAGACAAAGAAGTAAAAACAGCAAGTAAATATATGAAAAAATGTTCCACATCACTGGTCTTTTGAGATGCAGATGAAAACAACACTGAGATTCCACCTCACCTCACAAAGAATTACTGTTATCAAGAAATCACACAATAACAAACGTTGGCGAGGTTGTGGGAACAAAGAAACCCTTCTCCATTGTTGGTGGGAGTGCAGACTGGTGCAACCACTATGGAAATCAATATGGAAATACCTCAAAGAGCTGGGACTAGAGGTTCCATTTGACCCAGCCATCCCTCTCATGGGTATCTTTCCAAAAGAATTAAAAGAATCATACCACAGTGATATATGCACACCAATGTTTATAGTGGCACAGTTTGTAATAGCTAAAACTTGGAAACAGCCCATCGGCCCATCACTTGGAAACTGGATAAAGATGTGGTTTTTCTATAAAATGGAATAGTATTCAGCCATAATGAGAAATTAGAGTCATTCATAGGAAAATGGACACATATTAAGGATATACTCTTACGTGAAATAAATAAGTCACACATTTAAATACCAAATAGTTTCTCTGGTGTGAAAAACTATAATAGTACACAAGATCCTAATGGGATAATTAACAATGTGAAATAGGAAGAAAAGGGCTAAACATGTAGGGAAAGTGGGAAGGGAAGGGGAAAGGAAATAAGGGAAAAGAAAAAATATCAGAAAATGAAAAAATGGAAATAGTTTGTTAATGGGGAGGGGAGGAGGGGGTGAAGGGAGAGCAAGGATAAGGGGAAAAAATGAGAACCAAGACCTGTCATGTGAAGGTACAGGATCCCAGTAATGAATGTAACTGTAATGTAGACTTAGATTGTACCAATAAACTCAATAGAAAGAAAAAAAATATTTAAAGATTCTCTCTTCTCAAAGAACTTAGTAAGGGATAGCCAATATGCAAATTTTAACGTGATAAATGCTATAATCAGTACATGTCCAGGAACAACCTACCCAATACTGGGGAGAGGCAGGTGTGGTGTGGGAAAAGAGATGAATGAAAGATACATGGAAATGAGTCAGGAAGTACAAGGATAGAGAACTAGGAGAATGTGCCAGGCAAAGCAGTGTGTGTACAAACAGGCTTAAGAGTAATCAGTGGGCTGGGGGTGGAGCTCTAGTGTGCGTACCTGTGGTTTGATCCCCAGCACTGATGACAAAAAAAGGAACTAAGAATGCTTATATGATAAGAATGACACAATGTCATATCCATTCAATTTTAATTATGTTTATCTTTTATTATTTTACAACATATTTCAAAGCAAATGTCATTACAGTTGCCTTAACTGCTCTATAAGACCTGGAATAAAAGAACACTTGAAACACACAAACATCAAGCTGAGATGCCTACTTGTACTGAACCATTACTACCAATGGGATGTAGTTTATTAAATAAGCAGATGTGCGGCAATGTAAAATAAAATAATTTGTTAAACAGAAAGTAAACTTTGCTTTAATGGCTATAGAAAGGAGGTGGTTTTTTTTTCCCCAACACATCTGGTTCTGGCAGCAAGTTAGTAGTATGCATGTAAAGCAGTATGTGCCCTGAAAGCTTATATTTTGTTTGTGCGTATTACTTGAATCAGAGACCAGACACATGAAAAACTATTGTTCTTAATACCCTCAATACCTTCCCCTCTCCCTCCAGAAGATCCCAATGTCAGGGAACTTAACACTTTTTGGTGGTAGTATTTTACAATTACTTTTCTCCAGTAACACTGGAGATTTTTAATTTTCTCTAAAAGAGAAGTGATGAAAACATAAGAAAACCCTCCAGGGTCCAACTTTTGTTTCACATTCTCCAAGTAGTAAAATAGCAGCTCTACATGGTGATGAAAATGAACTTAAATTTCTATTAATTTTTAATTATGTTAACATTAAAACATTTCTGGATATAGCTGGACTTCCAAAACAAAATCTTAATTGCCAAGTATTTTAGAGTTTTAATGACGTATTACATAGATGTACTTAGTTCTTACCTACTCCAAAACACCATGTGTGTGTGTGTGTGTTTGTGTGTGTGTGTTTTAATCTTCACTGAGTTCTTTTTTCTGGCTGGACACGAGAAACTGATGTAACCAATTCTGGTTTTATTTCTTTATAAGCAATTTGGGTCCTTTTTTTCCCCTCCAATATAACTGCAGCATTTTTATAAGTTCACAAAGGCAATATAAGGAAATACCTATTAAGTAGGCATCAGCCAGGCAATTCATATTTTAAAGTTAGATGCTACCAGAGTGGCACTATGGCATTATAGGCATTCAATTTTTGTTTTTCTTCTTTCAGGTTTGTCAGTTCTTAACTACCAATTTTTTTTTTTTTTCCTTACCAGGGTATGTTCTGTAATCTCCATGTAAGGCCGAGACCACTTTTAATTACTCACAATATCATGGTGGACTTAATCTCATGAGCTGACATCAACGGTGAACAGTAAACAATTAGAACCACATTTGGTCATATCCAATAGGTCCAAAAGCACTTTACTACTATACGTGTTTCCTTTTTCTGACTCATTTTTGCATTATTCTTAGTAAAATAACAATATTACAAAGCTTTTCGGTTGTATTTTTAGATAACTACTATGTTAGAGTGGATAAATTTCAATTTGCAAACTCTCATTAGTAATGTCCTTTCTATAAACATGGTTGGCAAACAAAAGGCACAGAAGGGGAGGAAATCAGAAATGCTTCCAACAATCACTGAAGAGTACCAAAGCATGTACTGTTCAAAAAGAAAAGCAGAGAAAAATGTTCAGAAATTCATGCACAACTTGAATTACAAAAAACTTTTCTTCCGATAGATCCTGAGGCTTGAGGAGAAAAGTTTTCCTAATCACGTGCTTCATATAAAATAAAATGTAAAGCTGCAATACATGTTTGGTTAACAGTGGACCCATGTTTAAAAAAAAAAAAAAAAAGTGAGGCAATTAAAGGAAAACAAAACCAAAATACTTTCCCAAGCCAATATATTCCACCTGTAGCCTCTGTTTTTTTTACCACTCAGTAAAATGTCCAGAAAATGTAAAATGCAGCATACACAATCATGTAATCTAAAAACTTTTCATGATAACTTATTGCAAATTGCACTTGACAGTTCATCACAACAATGGAAAACTGGCCCGTTGTTGGTTCACACAATCCTTGAGCCCCAAACTGAAGATGAAGTCACCAGTAAAATGATCTGGATAAAAAGTTTGCAGCTGTGCTCAGCCAGCTAGCTCCACCTTCGGGATGGGAGCCAACCCGGGACACTGCTTTGTCCTGCTCCTTTGTGGGACTCTCATCCTCAGGCAAGTAGTCAGGCAGCTCTGTGTTCTCTTCTATTTCCACAGGAGTATCTTGGAATGGGACCAGCATCTGATACAGAGAACATTTTAAGAGATATTACAAAATTAATTAAATGTGATATATTTTTGGGCTTCTCGATTTTTGGGTTTTTTTGAGATAGGGTCTCACTGTGTAGTTCAGGCTGGATTTGAACTCACTATGTAGCCACGGCTGGCCGTGAACTCACAGCAATCCTCCTGCCCCAGTTTCTGGAGTGCTGGAATCGCAGGAATGGTCCAACACGCTCAGCTCTCTTTGAGGTCAACTTTATTCCTCATTCTAATTACCTTATTAGTCTGTTTTATTTTTGTTGTTCTGGAGGTTAAGCCCAGGGCCTTCACACTGAACTACATCCCCAGCCATTTTTATTTTTCACTTTAAGACATGGTCTTACTTTTAAAGTCATTAAGTTGCGCAGGCTAGGCTTGAACTTGTGATCCTCCTGACTCTAGCTCCCAGAGTGCTGGGATTACAAGTGTGTGCCACCACACCTGGCTTCATATTTATTGTTCTCAGGAGCTCTATTTCTTCTAAAAAAATTTCCTCCTGCATGACAGCTGGCCTAAAGCCTGAGTACTGTGTAAAAATGGAAGAACTACAATGACAATCCAGACGCTATGTAAAAATGACTAAGCCAAGTGCTGGGACCCTTTGAGCCCCTGGAGGCCCACAGAACCTATCTAAGGGAACCCACATGAGCTCAAAGTATATAAATTGCTATTCCCAATCAAAAGCTATGGAAAGAGTAGCAATAAAGCAAGGATTTTCACCATATGTACTTGTCCAACAGTGACTTTGTTTAGATTGCCAAGACTAGTTTAAATTAGGACAAAAACCCTTACAAGAAATCAATGCAAGTATCCTTTATTTTCATTTAAAATCAGTATGGTATCTCCACCAAGTTAAAAGAAGTTTTCTTCACAAAAGACCTCTATATTTATAAAACAGGTGTTAACCAAGAAACTACATTTATTATATATTTGATAACTATAAATATTAGCAGTCTAAGGAGCCACATAAAATAATCAAGAGTCTGGGGCCCAGGATGTAGCTCAGTGGCACCACACCTGCCTCGCAAGCGCAAGGTCCTGAGTTCAATCCCCAGAACTACTACTAATGAGTATGAATTAAGTATTTTAAAAAATGAACTGAAATTTTTACCTCTTCTCCACTTTCACTTTTTACAACTTGCTGAGCTTTCATGACCTTGGTTGATGCTATTGCTGATGCCAGTGCCTGGGCCAGGATAAAAAGGAACAGTTTTGAACACTTATTTGTTTACCTGTAATTTGAAGCATATTTAGACATTGATAATACTAACCTCTGCTTTCAAATCTGAACGGATTCGTACCACACATCTTTGAACAGCCATTTGAAAAGTAAAACTAATAACACCTTTGATTTTTAACAAGGCCTCTTCACATAGATTTCTCCGAGACTGAAAAGTAAAAGCAAATTGTTATTAAAATCAGTAAAATAATAAAAGGCAATAAATCAATTTAAGCCACATTGAACTATTCACTATAGTCATGTCACTTAACAACAGGAATATAGTCTGAGAAACGCATCCTTAGGTGAGAGACTTACACAAATCTAGATAGTATAACATACTGTACTACACACTCAGGCTACAAAGGACAGCCTATTGTTTCTAGGTAACAAACCTATACGGCATATTATGGACTAAATCCCATAGGAAACTGCAACATATTGGTAAGTGCTCATATATTTAAATATATCTAACTTTTAAAAGATATAATTAAAATACTGAGTGACAGTAATCTTTTAGTTTCACTAAAATCTTATGGGACCACAGCTATTTATGTGGCCCAGTGTCAGCCAAACATCATTATGTGGTACATATGACTACACGTTTTGAGGCAAGGCTTCAATAATTTTTATCAGAAAGAGGTTAGCCAATGTTAATTTGCATCTTAAATCAAATAGAACAAATGAATAATATCGGAAAAATGTCTCAAAGCAAAAAATCAGAGGTTCCTCATTCAAGGGTATACATACTATGTAGTCTATCAGCTATTTCAGTAAAAGTTTGTTGGAATACAGCTATAGCCACTTGTTTACACATTATCCTTGCTAAGTTGCATGCTAAGGCCAAGTTAGTAGCTATTATGGCCTGCAAATTCTAAAACAGTTAATATCTGGCCCTATGAAGAAAAGGCTTACTGGTATCTGATATAGTTTTGTTTTGTTTTTTTTCCAGTAGCAGAGATTGAACTCAGGACCTTACACCTATTAGGCAGAAGTGGCACCACTAAGCTACATCTCCAGCCCATCTATTTTTAAATCTCTAGGGCTAAATCCTAATAAAACTAAAGCTGAATTAGTAAGCATTCAGTACTTTAGTTACCGATCCTTCAACTTCAACTATTTGATATATATAAATATTATTGCAGCCTTCATTTATGGCAATCTCAATTACCAGTGCATGCTCAAGGATCATCAACATTCTCATTGGTTCTCACTTTCCTCTGATTATGTTCACAACATAACACAACACACAACCTTTGATATTAGATGCAAGGTACTATACTATCCTGGTCTCCCACTTACACAACTGATGATTCCATGTGTCTCCTTACCTCCAAGGTCTAGTGCCTATATCTAAATGACTTTCTGCTTTGACTCTCAGAAAACTATTTTTATCATTTTAGCCATCACTAATTCCAATAGTACTGTACTTTCTTATTTCTGTCTGTCAGACACATTCACTTGCATATCCAGTGATTATTTCAACATAAGAGCCTAAGTGAAAAGATATTTAAAAGTAAAGTACCTGCATTTTCTCTTCATTTTCTTTCTACCTACAGTCCACATACAAAATCACTAACTCTGAGTCTTCCTATATTGGCACTGAAGCCAGGAAGCCAGATTCTTTTCACCATTAAGTTTATTGGTATATTTAAAGTAAACAATACAGTTACATTTATCATTGGGATCTTGTAGCTTTACATATATCTTGGTTCTTACTTTTTCCCCATTCCCCTGCCCTCCCTTCACCACCTTCACCCCTCCCTATTTACAAAGATTGTTCCCATTTTTTCATTTTTCTCACACATTTTTTCCTTTTCCCTTATTTCCTCCCCTGCCCCTCTTCCCCTTTAGCTATTTTCTTCTTATTTCACACTGTGAAGCCAGATTCTGTTTCAGTACTTCAGAGGGGATGAAAGACTGCAAAGACCAAGTACTTAGACAACATTCGGTTTTCAAACTCATTCCTACATCCTTGAAAACATCTCATCTCACTGCTCATCTCCCTACTTAACTCACTTCTTGCTTCAGCTTTTCAAAACTACTCAAGGAAGAATCCTGGACACAACGGTCTACGGCAGAACACAGGCCCACGGTGCACTTCATCTGCTGCCCTGCCTCTGGGTTCCATTATGCTGGGAACTGGTTTCTGGGAAGTTCCTTTAGGGAACTGGCACCAAATAGTTCTATGTTTCTCTCCTCCATGAACCCTATACACTTAAACTTAAAGTATGTACAGAACAGGTAACATCAGAATTAGAATACTACTATTTTAATCTGAATCCTTATTTTAAATATGAGGAAAGAAAAAAAAACAGAAAAGTAATGTGCTTAGTCTGTGTAAAGAGTCTGACATTAAGTTGCAACTGTTTATGACAGAAAAGATTAAGGTCATAAGGTCATCTTATCTTTATTTTACACAAATGAATACATTTTTACCAGATTTATTGTCCACTTTCCCAAATGACATATTATCAATGTTTGCATATTTTGACCACTGCTGTATACCTGTTACCAACATTATGCCTGAAACCCAATATAATGTCTAACGTTACATGTTCTTTTCTATTGTAAAGATTAGTACAGATTGAGCATCTCCAATCCAAAATTCCCAAATGCTTCAAAATCTAAACTTTTTTGAGCAATGACAGGACACTCAACATTTCTGATCTCAGAGCATTTTGTTTTAGGCATATTCAACTGGTCAAGTATATGCAAATATCCAAAATTCCAAAAAAACTTTAAAATCTGAAGTATTTCTGGTCCCAAGCCTGTCAAATAGGAGAATCTCAACCTGTAAGTTGAGATTCTACCATATGAACATTTAGATCAGATAATAAAGTTTTAAAAATCATTCAATTGTCATTGTTTACATATTTACAAAGAAAAAAAAATTTCTACAACTTTGACATCTCCTATCTAGAAAAGACCAGTTCACTTCATTTATTCAAGTCTTATATTATTGCAGAGCTTTAGCTTACGTATAGATCCTCCATTTTCTTATTAAAAATATCCTTCTATCTTCCTAATTTGTTTCATTCTATTTTATTCCAAGGAAGTAAAAATAACTTCTCCCTTTCTAGAAGTGTCTGATTCCCATACACTTAATATTTGCCCAAGATTTTACACTAATTTTAAGAAATTTCAGATGATTCTCCTCAGTTTTCTGTATTTACAATCATAGTAACAGCAAATTAGCAAATATTTCATTATATTAAATCATATTTACATTCTCAGAACAAAATTGCTTCTAGGAAGTTATATTATGGTTAAAAGTTCAATGCTGGAGACACGCTATTTAAATTCAAATCTTAACCATTTCTTCTACCTATGTGACTAGCCATTTTACAATTTAAAAATTCAATTTCTCCTTCTATAAAAAGATATCCCTCTTTCTCTCTGTATTAATGATTAGAATCAAATCAAACAAAAATCAGTATACTACCTAAGAGTGCCAGGCTATGTCACCAAAACATGTTAACTAGCAGTTTTGCTTTGATGTAAAGAATCAACCCAGAGCCATATGTGTTCTAAGCATCACTGAGCTTCAGGCCCAGCTTAAATTTTGGAAATTGGCAACCAAATTCTTCCTCTACTTTGGTGTGTGCTGTGTTGGTTTATTACTTGGTTTGTGGTTTAAAAAGAAACTATGTTATTCTTATATTAAGTTCAAGACCATACAGCCCCAGTTTCAATAATATAGTTGTTGGGCGGGGAAAAAAAACGATAGTTGTTATTTTAATAAATATGCACATTCATGTATATCAATTAAGCATGAATAATATGTAGGGCTTCCCTTCACACTTATTTACTAAATCTTAAATCCTGAGTTCTATGTACCTAAATCCAACAACTAGAAGAGGCTCTGGATAATCTAATATAACCTACCCGGCACAGCTAAAGAAATAAATGGTAAGCCACCAGTTTAAAGTCGCCACCTCTAAATACAAAGTTATATAAAACTTATCACTGCACAAGGTAACTTCAAGGCGACTTTCAATTCGAGTCAAGATGGAGTAACACAGACTAGATTTATCCACCCACTAGGATTAAATAAAAATATAATGATGTCCAGGCACTGGAAAACAGGCATCCCTGAAAAAAGAAAAAGAAATAAAGTGAGCTCCATAGTGCACCAATTTACTGCTTAGAAAAGTTCCAGATTGCAACTCAGGATGAGGAAGCTAAACAGAACCAGTAGTCTTCCTGAGTTAAGGACAGACTTGAGAATTCAGGGAGGCCCAGGTAACTACAGTTCAAGGGGCTCAGCAAATGAGACAAAGCTACCCAATGAAGAGGAGCTAGAGGTGCCTGCTGTCAAGGAGAGTGCCCCCTTGACCAACTGATATCAGATCAGCACATGTTATATTAGGAAAAAAAAACTGAGACTGGTGTAAGAATTATTGGAAAGGAATAGAAAGAACAATGCTGTGAGCTCACAGTGGGCTGGAAATATATCACTTTCCCATCAGAAACTGGAAAAATAAAAAGCCCTGAGACATACAAAGGGTACATACAGATAGAGAACCCAGAATGGTATTGCATCAATAGGGTAAGGCAAAATTTTCCCCAAGTCAAAGGGTATCATGGTCTGGTCTAACAAAGCTTAAGATTAAGGCTTAAAAAGATCCAACAGTTTACAAGTAATTTAGCTGTGATGCAGAACAAAGTTCAAAAATATTTAAAGGCTACACAGAAAATGTGGGCTCTATTCAACAATATAATATTCACAATACATGGCATCCATTCAAAAAATACCAGGAAAGAAAGGACAAGGAAAAAAAAATGGAAACAAAAGCTTTCGTAAACAAAGGGAAGAGAAATTGAAGGGAGAGGAGGGGAATGGGGATTAAAAAGAAAAGAGCAGCAGCAAGATATATCATGTATAGGTGCAAATTCCCTATGACTAATGTTACCATTATGTATATCTAAAGTGCACAAATAAAAAAAATTACCAGGTATGCGATGAAGCAGGAAAATACAACATATAATTAGAAAAAGCAATGAGTAGGAACACACAATAAAACTATGTCCGTGGTGGGAAAAAATTGCACTAGATGAGATTCACAGCAAATTAAATATTTCCAAAAGAAGAAAAAAAAAGTGAATATAGCAACAGAAGCCATCCAAAATGAAAGAGGAAAAAAGTTAAACAGGACAATAGTGAGC